CATTTACTGGACACTGACTTGTGGCAGATCTTGGGCAAGATGCTAGGGATACATCCATGCACAAGAACATGTCTCTGCTCTCACAGAGTTTACGTCTGGTTGGGAAACACGATAAATAAGGAAAAAGATAAAGACATGATGTCAGGCGAGGAAAGTGTTATGACAAAACAAAATAAAGCAAAGCAAGGAGAAAGTGATTGGAGGGGGTGGGGCTATCTTTAGAATTCTTTGCCATCCCTCCAGTGGGTGCTGACTCACTGTATGGGCCTTGGTTTGCCTGTCTTACAATGGGGGTGCTGTTGGGATGAACAGTCTGGGAGGGTCCTTCCTTGTCCAGGGTTCCCAGGTTCTGTGGTTATGCAAGGCAGTGGCTGGACATTACATGGCCTCTGGAAACTCCAGGCTGTCAGTATCTGGAACTGGAGAGAGATTTGCATGGAATGAGGATGACCAAAGAGCGTTGGCACTGTTCTGTGAGAGAGAGCCCCACGCCCACTCTCTCAGCTGTTCTGAAAATAGTGACATGATTACCTGTTATTTACTTTGTGTGAGGAGCTTTTGGCAAGAAAGCTTCCCAACTCAAGACTCCTAGAGGGAGACCTCTGTGATCATAAAAATGGATATCATTTATGTGGTGGGTGTTGTGCAAAGTACCATAATCTCAACACACGTGGCTCCCAAGCTACTAAAGAGAAACTGAGATGCAGAGAGGTAAAATGTCTTGTCCCGGGTCGAGGGTTATAGCCCCCAGATCTCTCTGACCCTGAAGCCTGTGCCCTTAATCTCCAACATAAGAGAGAAAGGGATGTTTGTCCAAGGAGAGGGACTGATGGAGTGACAGCGATCTCAGGAGAAGGAGAGAGGAAAGCTAGAATGAAAAGGTGAGAGGGTTTTGAGAAGCCTTCCAGGAGCGGAGGCATTTGATCTGGGCCATTACAGAAAGGATTAGTTGTAGTTTCTTGGGTTAGGTGTCTCTGGATGCGCCAGGTGTACACCCAGACTTGATTACCTTTGGCCTAGGAGGCCTGAGAAAAGGGACAGGACAGCTTTACCCCAGTTATAAGCCAGATCTCAGCTCCTTTTTGAGCTGCCTGCTGACTCTCTGAATCACTTTTCTGTGCTCGAAAGGAAGCTGGCAGGAGGATCTGTGTGTGGCCCATGCCATCTTCCAGACTCCCTCTATCTCAGGGGCAAAACCAAGGAAGGGCCAGAATGTAGGGGGCATGGATTCAGTACCCAGAACTTCACCTTATTTCATCCTCCTATTTACCCCAAGAGGTAGGTCTTTTATCCCCCCACTGAGGAGCAAAGTGATCTTTAAACTTTCCTCTCACTGGTGAGTGCCAGAAAACAGGATTTTAATCAAGAATTTCTGGTCCCAATACCTGGGTGGGTTTTGTTTGCTTGCTTGGCTTTTTGTTTTGTTTTGTTGTATTTTACTTCAGTCCCATGTAGGGGAATTGAGGACTTCAATTCAGCTCACCTTTGATTACAGCATTTTGTTTTGTAGGAGTCACAGAAGAACCCATTAAGACTTTTTAAAAGGCCTCTCAGAGTCTGTTCAAATGGTTTTTAACCTCTTAGGGGTCAGGAAGAGAGAATCTGAGGTTTCTTGCCCCAGAAATTTGCATAGAGACACATACGATATGGAAGTAATGATCATCCATGTTTCCCCTTGTCCCAGTTCAAGAAGCACAGGGAAAAACCCTACAAATCTACAAATAACCACATTCAAACGTGTTTCATGCCTTCGGAGAGATTCTCAGAACACAGAGAAGGGGAAATTAAATCCTTCATTTCAGGAGCTTGGGATAGCTTTATAGAAGAGCTTCTGGTGTCTAAACTGGTAGTATTTAATCTTTTTGTCAGTCTGCTTTCCAAATGATCATTGAACAACTATGTATTTCTGGCACTTTTTTTAGTTGACTGCTAATCCTTTTTCATAAAGAGTTTAAATAGTTGCAAAGGTTGCAATTTCTGATATATTATAAATTCATACACTCAAAAATAGATGTTTATAGCATTCTTTTCATTATATACAGTTGAATTAAATACCTACAATTTGATACCTACAACCATCCATTTAAAAAATACATGAATGGGGGTGCCTGGCTGGCTTGGTGGGTAGAGCATGCAACCCTTGATCTCTGGGTCCTGAGTCTGAGCCCCATTTTGGGTGTAGAGATTACTAAAATCAATCAATCAATCAATCAATCAATCATGAATAGGCTCTTCTCTAGTGGAAATTTCACATCATTCTTTTTTCTATTCAAACTCAAATTCCACTCCATGTTTCAGCACATAAACATTTTACCATAATTTTTTTTTCACCCCTCCAACATAGGGAGCTTGAACTCAGGATCCTGAGATTAAAAGTTGAATGCTCTACAGACTGAGCCAGCCAGGTACCTAACCAATAATGTTATTCTTAAATGCTTAAATAGCTTATTGATAGCACTATCATACTTTTCTGCCTAAAAAGAATTACATAAATCGAATCATTATTTTACCTTCCATGACCTTATGACTAGTTATTCAAATTCTCTATCATTACAATTATCATGAAAACACAATCTTTTTAAAAAGATTTTATTTATTCATGAGAGACACAGAGAGAGAGGCAGAGACACAGGCCGAGGAAGGAGAAGCAGGCTCCATGCAAGGAGCCCAATGTGGGACTGGATCCCAGGAATCAGGGATCACGCCCTGAGGCGAAGGCAAACGCACAACCACTGAGCCACCCAGGTATCCCCATAAAAACACAATTGATCAAAGCAGTTTAAATATATTACAGTTTTTTGAAGTCCTAAAAGCATTTTTAATGGTGTTTTGGAGATAAAATGAACTACACATATTTAAAGTGTGCAATTTGACATATAGTATACACTGGTGAAACCAGTTCTACAAATTTTGATAAATAATTATTAAACAAAAAAAGTAAAACTGAGTAATGTTTCCTTCCCCATTCGTCCACATGGCTCTGGAGGGATATTGCTTGTGCAAGAATGAGACAGACTTTAGCAATAATTTTATTTCTACTTTTAATTTTTTATAGCTGTCAAGCAGTGGGTGCCAGAGTCAGACTGTACTGGTTCAATTGTTGTGGGTGATTTAGGCACCCACAGAGGCTAGGCACTTTAGGGAACATGACCATTACTAAAAATTAAATTATATAAACTTAAAATTAAATAAACTATATTAAAAACAAAGGAAACACTTTGTATTCAAGACTCATGACTTCCTAGTTATTTCATTAGATCTTATTGTTATCCATGCTCTTGATATTATTTGCACCTATTATTTTGCACTATGTGTGGTAGAAATACTGCTCATCTCTAACCAACTCTGTGTTCAATGACATCACACTGGGAATTTGAAATCAGGTGGGAGTATTTATACCACAGAAATTGACAAATGGTACAAATTAGCACTTCCTGCTTCCCCCAACCTATTGTTAAAGATTTATCAGCACACCACTGGCTGTCAGAAGTTGGTGGGAATAAAAGGAGTTTTGTTATAGCGATGTGTTGACAGATAACCAAAAATGCATAGTGACCTATCATCAAAAATTATTTTAGTGATCTATGTACTAACAACTATATTAGGCCCTCCTGGGATTGTGTGGAAAGCAAAGATTGCAAAAACCATCTGACTTGCGAAAGAATGTCTTATTCTGACGTGAAATCCACTCATTTTCTCAGTAGATTTCTCAATCCTAGGGAAGGGTATGGCAAAAAAAATTGGAAAAAAATTGCTTACCTTTAAATCCCTGGGGAAAAATAGGATCCACATTTGAAGCTTGCTTTACAGTCAAGGATCTCTCCAGCGTGAGGTTTTCATCCTTTTGCTAATAATTGAGGGAAGAGGAGAAATCACTCCCTACTCTCTACTCCGCAAAGTATATGAATTCAGTTTGTCAACAGAGGCCAAAATACCCTGGTTATGAAGCCGTACCTCTGCCTTAGAAGGATACACACAGAAATCAATCAGGGTGAGAGACCAGTCTAGTCACCTTTGGTACTTTGATTAATTGTGATATGATACTTCCTCCTAGTAGTTCTAACAGTATCTGTACCTGGAGACCCCCAGAGGATTTCCACCTCCAACCCTTCCCTACAGTTTGTGTGTGTGTGGGGTGTAGTGGTAAGGCCAACTCAACTTTCTTTTACAAAGGGTGTAAGCAGATCTGGGATAGACTCGCAGACTAGTTCTGAGAGACGGAACTTTTTCTGAAGTTCAAAATCTGGAAAAAGAAATCCCTTAAAACAGAAGTCAGCCATCCTAAGACCAAAAAGTCTACTCTGATGGGGTACCCTTGGTTTTTGTTCAGCCTGCTGCTAAAAAATGGCTTGCACATTTTTAAATAGGGAGAAAATCAAAACAAGGATGATATTTCATGACACCTAAAAATTACACGAAATACAAATTTCAGTGTTCCATAATTAGTGTTTCATTAGAACACAGCCGCGTTCTTTCTTTTAAGTATTTGTGGCTGCTTTCGAGCTACGAAGCTGGAGTATGACAAGACACCGAATGGCCCGCAAAGATTGAACTATTGAGCTCTTTACAGGAAAAGTTTGCTGACCCCTCAAGCCTATGCACGTTCACGTCCCATTTGGAATGTGTTCCGTACCCTGGGGCGGGGGGGGGCTGGCGGAGTGTAGCGGGTTTGGGGAGCGCTGGCCTCCAGGGAAGACCCTGGGCGAGTCCGTGGCCTCAGTTTCCCCAGGTATAAAACGAGGTTAGACGCAGTGATCTCCGGGGGCCTGCCTGGGAGGACATCAAAAGAGTAAATGGGACAGGGACTCGGGGTGGATCTGGAGCGGGCGGGTGCGCGCGGGGCGGGTTCCTCGGGGTTTCCAGCGGCGTGGGCGGCCGGAGCGCCCCGAGGCCCAGCTTTCGCAGGGGAATTCCGGGCGGGGTGCGGCGGCGGGGCGGGGCGGGGCCGGGGCGGGGCCGGTCACCGCCTATAAGAGGGGCCGCACGCCCGCCGGGGCCACTCGCCTGCGCGCCCTCTGCGGACCGCGGTACCATGGCCTCCGCCCGCCTGCTCGCGCTGCTGCTGCTGCTGGTCGTGGGCACCCCCGCCGCCACCGCGGAATCGGTAGGTGCCGGGGCATCCCGGGGGGGGGGAGGGGGGAGGGGGGCGGCCCGGTGCCTCCTTTGTTCCTGGGGGCCTGAGATGGGGGGTGGCGCTCAGGGGGCCGCGCCGCCCCCAACTAGACGCCGGGGCTGGGGAAACTTTGCTGGAAACTTGGCTCCCGGGTGACGGGGAGGCTCCGGGCCGGGGCGGGTCCCCCGCGCGAACGTGCGCCCCAGCCTGTTGCTCTTCCCGCCTCCCCTGGCCTCGGCCCCGCCGCGCGCTCCAGGCTCGGACGTGACTAAGCCGGTGTCACCTCTTCTCCCCCCACACTCGCGCCCTTCCCTGGTGACCCCGGGGCAGGCTCTGAGTCGCGGACCCCCCTGCTCGCCGTCCGTGAGCGCCCGGAGCGGCTGCCCTAGAATCCGACCGGGCCTGGGGACGAGGGGGCTGGCGTGTGCTCGGAAGGGGGAGGGGGACGCTTGTGCGGGGCCTGTTTCACACACCGGGGAGTGAAGAGCTGAGCCCGGACCACAGGTCCGGCCCCAGCCCTACCCCTGGCCGGTGACAGGGCAAGGCCCTGCCCCGCTTCTGAGTGTCAGTTTCCCCATCTGCGCCACGGGCTGGGCGAGCGCAGCAGGAGATGACCAGTGCTTCTTTAGGGTCCCTCCAAAGTTGACACTCTGATCCTTCTAGGGCGGACGGGGAAGGATGGTCTGGGCCCAGCGTTTCACCAAGAGTTGAACCTCTGCTTTCTGCGAGAATTCTGTTTATTTCTGCTGAACTGCGCTCGCTCGGGAAATCGGAGTACCCACCTGGAGTGGAGTAAAGGGGGTTGGGGGAGGGAAGGCTACAGTGAGCACCGAGAAGCTCTTCTCACTCGCCCGCTGGTCTCTGTCCTAGTTTACAAAGCCCTAGGCCACCAGAAGCTCCATTCATCCCAGCGGCCAGCGGGGGAGGAGGGTGGCTTCCCCATCTGGGAAGTTGGGGGAGCAGGAATTGATGGAAGAGGCTATCTGTCCCCCCCAAGAACCCCAGCCCTGTGCCCCCTTCATGCCTTAAGGCCCCCCCCTCCCCACCTTTTAGACAGAGGAAGTCTGTGGAGTTTTATCATTGTGGATTCCTTTATGGGGCTCCTTTTTTTCTCTGGGCCTGCTTGGAGGAAAGTCCTTTCTGCCTGGCTGGCTTCTGTTGAGGAATGCATGAGACCCTGAGAATAACCTGCCAGCACAATTGAAGGCAAGCAGTGATGATAGCAAACATTATGGTGTGCCTTATGGTGTTCTGATAGCTTTCTAATGGCTGTTCTAACTAATGGCCTATCAACTAGCTTTAATTCTGACAGCCCGACTGTTTACCTTAAATTGGTCCTGAGGTTGAGGAGGTTAGCTAATTTATCCAAGGCCACACAGCTTAATATGGGGCTGAGGCATTCAAATTTAGCCAGCCAGGCTCCCAAGTTCCTGCTCTTATGATAAGCTGTGGTCTGATGCTTTCTGAAGGGCTGCCCTTGTGTCCCATCCTCAGGTAACTCAAGAGTTTAGAATCTGTTGAGATTTGGGGCTGGCCAGCCTCAAGAAATTCTGGGGTGGAAGGAAACGGGCCCAGGGTGAGGTGACGACTTCCCCAAACTATGGGCAACCTTACGGAAAAGTTAATGTCTGAGCCAGGACTCCAGCTCACACCCGCTGCTCCCTGGTGCAGGGAGCTCTTGGTGCTCTTAACTAGACCCTGAGAGATGTGTTGGAGTCAAGCAGCTGGGGAGACATCCAAAGGAATGCATGTTGGCTCCTGTGGGTAGCGTGGGGGGAAATAGAAAGCCCCAGGAGGTTGGGAGATCACTGCATGGGCAGTCACATGGCAGTCCCTGGTGAGGGGCTGCTGAGTCTGCAGGTGCTTCAGGGTGAGGAGCAGACAGCTGTGTCCTGGGGGCAGTCGGAAGGATATGGTTTGGGGGAGGGCAGCTGTGTCAGCCCTACACATGGTGACCCATCATCAGCTAGGGAGAAGTTGGCCCTTGAGCAGCTGCTTCCGGAGAGAGAGGTATCGGTCTCCCTCATCCTGACCTCAGCACTCCCCTTCCTGAGGAATGTCACAGACCTTCCACCTCGAATTGGGTTACAGGGCTTTCCCTTTTGCCTCCCCTGTCCTCTTACTGCCAGGATCGTGGCCGGAAAAATCAGGCCTAGTCATAGTTGGGTAGATTTTTACAGGTGGAGGAAACAGGCCCACTGGAGAAGGGATTAGCTAATGGTAGTTATGATTTGTCGGGTGCTTTCCACATGCCGGGTCCGGTGCCCGGTCTGCTGCGTCTTATCCTCACAGAAAGCCCAGCATGTGGGGATTATATCATACCCACTTTCCGGATGAAGGAGCTGAGGGTCCCCCTCCAGTAGTGCTAGTGAGGCCCTTCCCCAAGTTTTGGGTGTAAGCCAAAGGCCTGCCTTCCCCTTGGGTGGTATCCTATCCCCACCACGAGGGCTTGGTGCCACAAGTTTTGGGAAGGGAACCCTGTCTGAGCAACCAGTCTCTTCCCTGGCAGGGCTTGCTATCCCAAACCAGTTCTTCCTGTCTACCTGACTGCCTTCCTGCCACTCCTTCCCTAGCCAATTAAAGACAGCCTTGTTTTGGGAGCTGGACCCCCCCAGAAGTGTTGCCGCCCAGGGGCACAGCCTCCTGATGTGGCATCAGGCCCCGTGGGTTCTGGGGAGGTGTACTTTAGCTTAGAGAGGTTTCTGGTCTCCTTGAGAATTCTTTTCTTGATTGCACTGAGGTTGGATAGGGCAGGAGCATAGGGGGTCTGGCACCCTTGAGTGGCCAGTGAGAGCTCTTTGGAATTCTTAGAAGCCACAGAGAACCACCACGGAGGATATTTGGGGCCGTGGTTTAGAGGGTTCTGTGGGGTTGACATTACCCATCTGTAAAATGCGGTTTGAAACAAATGACCTTGAGTGCCCTTCTCGGCTCAAGTATTCTATGAATAAATACCTATTCTTTGGAAGGGATTGTAGAAACCCCGGACATCTAAGGCATTGCCTCCCTTGAAGAGACTTAGTTTGTGAGAGAATTAGTAAATATATCCCACCAAAATCTGAGTCGCATGCCCACTCCCCATCCCCCAACCCGACCACACATACCACTTCCACCCACTCACATCCCCTGGGGCAGGGGAGGGGGGAATTTCTGCTCTATTCATCTTCAGTGAAATACTTGTTCCTCAGTTAGTCCTCAGGAAATGTTTGTACGAATGAATAAACTCGTGCCTGTAGCTTCATTCTAAAAGGTGCGTTGAGATTATTATCACTAATATGAACGTCTTCCAGGGATACTGTGAAGTAGATTTTATTTTCTACGTGTTTATTTTTTAAAGATTTTATTTATTTATTTCTGAGAGACATAGAGGCAGAGGCAGAGGGAGAAGCAGGCTCCTCGCAGGGAGCCTGATGCCGACTTGATTATCGATCCCAGAATCCTGGGATCACACCCTGAGCCCAAGGCAGGTGCTCAACTGCTGAGCCACCCAGGCGTCCCTATTATCTACATTTTTACAGGAAACTGATGCTCAGAGGAAGATAGTGGCTTGCCAAGGTCAGGACTAGGTCTCTCTGATAATACAAGGTGTCTGGTTTGAGCACCCTGAGAGGACATTCCAGATGAGGAAATCGGCTGGTTTTGAAGGCAGAGTTCTGCTTTTGACCTGCAGGGTGACCTTGAGTAAATGTACCCTATCTCTGGGACTCAGTGTCCCCAACTCTATAATAAGCCCACCTTGAACTAAACCCCTCCATGGATCCTGCCTGCCCTGAAAACACACCAATGGGGGGGGGAGGGGAGCTTTCTTGGCCCCTTTGGTAAAGATTCTAAACAAGAGGACAAGTTGGGGGGTGGTGCAGGGAGGTGGAGACATTCAGCTCCTGCCATCCCCAGCTCCTGGAAACAGAGGGCTTTTCCAAGGACTTGGAGTGCTGGGCCCTCTTGAATGAGGAGCTGGGAGAGCCAGGCTGGGCTTCCCGCCCCAGTTCCCTCTAGGGAGGAATTTGGCTTCTAGTTGTTCTCAGCCTACTGGATTGGTGGGTGTGATTTCCAAATGACCATTGAAAATTGGGGGAAGGGGCTGGACAGGGCCTGTGAGTCACTGGAGGAGAGCGGTGGCTGGCCTGAGTCACCCATTTCCTTTCAACCTCTTGGCCCGAAGGATGATTCTGGTGGGGGTGTTGGAATGGGCTCTACAGAGTTTTACCATGTCCTCTGAGAGCCTATTAGAGATAGTATCTCAGCGTCCTGGACCTTGAGGGGGTGTACAGGGAATGCCAGCACTAGACGTCAGACCTTCTCAGTGCCTTGTCTGTGGGTGGGCTTTGACAGGGTGCAAATTCAGCCAGTCTTCAGAATTGGTCTTTGGGCCTGGGCAGAGCAGGTGTTGCTTTGTTTCCCTTAAAGCAGAACTGAAGGGTTCTGCTCAGAGCCCCCAGAGTCAAGCTGGTACAGTCCAGATATGATTGAACCCCAGGAGTCTCTGATTTTTCTGATGCCCTCTCCTTGCTTCCTGGAACTGGCTGGAGAGCAGTGGAACATTGGTTTGGGACTTAGGCAGACCTAACTTGCAGAGGTGTGAAGTCCACCTCTAACTAGCTACATGGCTGTGGGCATGTCACCCAGTCCCCCAGCCTCTGCTTCCCATGCACTGTGGGGAGGCTGGGAGGAGGTGACAAGCCTGCAATAAAGTTCCCAGTGTGTGCCTGGGAGGAAGGCTGCATTCTTAGTGATAGTGATGCCAGCTAGTTCTGTACCATTGAAGATCCTACTCCCAGTCCCCCTGGAACACTCTCTTCCCTCCCCCCAACAGCTGCAAGGTGGAAAGGGAGGAGTCCAGGGTGGGGCGGATGGAGTTCAAATCTACTGTTTGTTTGTTTTAGAAGTGGACTGTTTGCTAATTATAAGATGGGTTTATATTTAAACAAGAACCAGTTCTCGGCAGCCCCACCCCTCCTGCTGGGATCTGTAGGAACCCCTTGCTGGGCAGC